TATATATATATATATATATATATATATATATATATATATATATTGTCTAAGCAAGGCCCTTGCTGACTGAAATCTGGAAAAAATCTTAATTACAAACAGTTGGATTATGGATTAAAACTATCCAGACTGAAATTAGACAACACTGGGAGAGAAGTATTTAACTAAATTTGCAAATATTAAAAACAAAAAAATAAGTAAATAACCCTAGTACTCATTTGACATTTTGTCAAAATTGACGCTGGTTGAATATCACATTTAAGTAGTTATATCTCAGGAAAGTGTCCTGCTATCTCCTTTCACACTTTGATGATATCAGTAGATTTGTGAAAAGTCCTCTGCTCTGTTCGCGCCAACACTGACCAATAGGCGAAGTCGTGTTAAGAACTCGTGATTCCCACCTTAGAGTGTTGTGAATTGTCATTGGTCGAGAGCTGTTGTGGTCCCGCCCACCTCGCCTCGTGTGTTTGTTTCGCGCGAGTTGCCTGCTGTCGAGCTGCAGAGCTTTAGCTGTATGCTAGGTAGTGAGGGCTGGATTAGGGGGGACTATTCCTTTCGGAATATATCAGGAAAGCAGCTAAGGCGGAATTCAAACGTGAGCACATGGCGAAGCAAAGTTCACTCTTCAACTTTTTCACCAAGTCTCCACCACCGGTCTCTAAGGCAAAGCCGACGCCTTCCCCGGCCGAGGCGGACTCCGTGGAGAAGTCCAACTCTTCTCCTAAAGAAGAAGCCAGACAGACTCAGAACCAGCAGCAGCAGCAGCCGAGCAGAAACAGCAAAGTGAAACAGAACAGTGGCTCCAAGTCGGTAAGCGGAGGATTCAAGAAACTGTTCGGAGACAAGGCCGCTAAACCGGAGGAGAGGTAGGTTTTCATTTTACCCTGGAATCCTGGTGACACTCAACACCCTCAGACCAAAACTTTGAAACATTTTTACATTTTTACATGTAGATTAATTGGCATTGTAGAAAAAACACGACAAGATAATCAACATTTTTCCCATAGCATGGTAAGCTAGCAGCCCTGCAAAACATCATCACCTCCAAGTTTGGTCTAAAAAAAAAAAAAAGCTTTTTAGTTTATGGTGTCTTAGTGTCAACATCCACCTGCAGCTATTTCAAGATAATGCAAAACTCACATTAAACTATTACCGATTAGAGATATCAAATAAGTCCTTATTGTTTATTTTGTAAACTGTTAACAATCTAAAGCTGTATTTGATGCTTTGAAGGGCCAGATAATTGACAAAGTTAAAGTCAAAGCATACAAATTGTTGTAGTTTATTCATATTTTCTAACCACCTCTGTTAGCCGATCATCTGTAATAAAGGTGTACATTAGCAGGGGTCACAATAAGTACATTGAAGAGAGAAAGTATTCTTATTTAACTCCATGAGGTGGGCTGTACCTGTCATGCAAAGGATTGTGGGTACCCGTATAGCTCCTTATCTCAGATAGGAACAATCTTTTCAAGATGGTTAAACATAAATACTGCCCTCTGCATCATTGTCTGCCATGGCTGGTGTTTTTCTAGCCGCTTCTTCATAACAAGACCCAGAATAGTGACCTTTGTCGGTTATTTATGGTGTTCACACACAGGTCGCATTTGCAAAGATCAGATTCGTATCTGATTCAGGACCACATAGCCAAGTGGCCTGTGTCGCATTGGAAAAAGTCGGATCTCTGTTGTTCAGACAGCCAGGAACATATCAGATCCAGGTCGCATATGGGCCAAAAAATCGGATTTGAGTCACTTCAGGCTGAAGTGTGAACAGGGCCTAAAAACTGATTGTTCCTGGGTTTAAATGTTTGTTTTTTTTGGCCAATGTGAAAGGGGTAAAAGTAGTTTTTTTTGCTCATAATCTGCACAGTGACAGCCGCTTTTCTTTTTTTTTTTCGTGGCCTTGAAACATCTTCCAGTGAAAAGTTTTTGTCTCTAAAGATGACAGGATTAAGGTGTTTAGCCATGTCAAGATGTGCTTAGAGACCAAAGAACACTCTCCAGTTGTCAACATGTTGGTGGTAGCATCCTACTGTTAGTGTCATTAAAACAAACATCTGGGTGCAGCATGGTTATAATATTTGATTTTTACAACATGCCAAATGACATGTGTAGTTGTACTTATAAGCCCGGATGGCTAATCCACAATAAATAAAACCTCTGCTGTTGATTCTTTATTAAAACATCATAATCCTTTAAACAGGGATAAAAACAGTTGAATTATAAAAAAAATAAATGGTGTTATGAAAATGAAAGCTGCTGCTGATATCGATTATTTTTTAAATTGATTTATCCAGCAATTATTTCTTGATTTTATTTTTTTTTCATTGATGCCTCAATGAACAATTTTTGAATTTAAGAAAAGGAAAACATTTGACACACATTTTTAATGAATAGCTAAAACGCGTAAGAAAACTATGCTGGAAAATGCTACTTGAGGAGCTGTGGTAGGGCATTTTTACTGAAAAAATTGTTTCTTTCATGAAATTGCAATATATATATTTTTTCAGTTTTGTCTTTAATTATTGCTCTGTGTTTTCTTTAAAAAATAGATTTAGGGTGTGTATGCACCAGTTACTGATAATTCAATTACTTGGTTAATAATTATTTTAGTAATCCATTAATTTGATTAATTGTTTTATCTCTAATGTAAATGTTTGACCAGATCTGTATGCAGGATAATCTTACTTGTTCTGTGATTCCTCATCTTTCTCTTCGGCAGCCTAAAATGCCCGTTTGCTGCTGGAGCCCTAGTGTGGGCCAAACTGGAAGGACACCCCTGGTGGCCGTGCATGGTGGTTCCTCAACCCCTGACTGGCCAGCAAATGAGGGGCCGGGGTCGAGCTCAGCGCATACACGTTCATTTCTTTGATGAACCTCCAACCAGAGGATGGGTTAGCACCAAATACATTCGAGAGTACCAAGGTAGGCTACTGCTAACAGCTATTATTTTCTTCCAATGACATAATAGTTTTCTCTGAGTCATCCTGTGGGTAACACCTGTTGTCACTGTGTGGTCCAAAGGGTCCGACAGCAGCGACGTTAAACCTGGGGGGGTGTTCTTCAGTAGCAAGCCTGTGATTCGTCGCGCCATGGAGCTCGCTGATCAATTTATGTTCGACAGTCCTGAAAAAAGATTGAAGATGCCGCTCTGCACAGATCCGTCTGATGAGGAAGAGGATGAAGAAGAAATGGAGGTGAACATATATAGCTGCTCCCAAACATTGTGCAGGGCACTTTGGTTATGGGCTTTTAAATATGTATTATAACTATTTATACTATTTGTACACAAGCTATAAAAAGGTGGGGGCTAGTTGATGTACTTTGGAAACAAAATTGCAGTTTTTTTTGTGTCCCTATAAAGTGAACTCCTAATATCTAGATAAAAGTCAATTTTTAGTTTCAGGGGGGAAAAACACCCTTTTTAATGATATTTCAAACATTTTGTCATGGTTTAAGCTGATAATTTACCTCCCTACATCAGAAACCTTTAAACTGGTTGTCTTTTGAGTAAAAGCTTTTAGCCTTGAGCCACAAATCCAACAGTGTCCAAGTTTCACCCATGTGATGCTGGTTTATAGTGATTGAAAAATTGAACATGATCTCATTATACACTTCTCAAAAAAATAAAGGGAATATAACTTTGATCAAACTTGTGTGAAATCAAACTCTCCATTTAGGAAGCAGCACTGATTGACAATCAGTTTTGGTTCTGTTGTGCAGATGGAATAGACAATGGATAGAAATTGTTGATGAGCTCATCAGACCCCTAGTGAGACCATATGCTAGTGTGGTTGACCCTGGGTTCCTCCTAATGCAGGATGATGCTAAACCTCATGTGGCATGAGTGGGTTAGCAGTTCCTGCAAGATTAAGTTCCTTGAAGCTATGGACTAGCCCGTCCGTTCCTCAGACCTGAATCTGATTCGGCACGTCGAAGACATCGAGTCTCAATCCATCCACCAAGATCACATTGCACCACAGGCTGTCAAGGACTTAGCATATGCTGTAGTCCACGTCTGGGAGGAGATCCCTCAGGAGACCACCCGCCATTTAATCGGTGCCTTGGCGTTGTAGGGAGGTCATACACAATACTGAGCCCCATTTTGACCTGCTTTAAGGACACTACATCAAATTTGGATCACCTGTTGTGTAGTTTCCACTTTAATTTTATTTTGTGACTCCAAATCCAGGCCTCAATTGGCTAATACTTTGGATTTCTATAAATTTTTTTTTGTTATTTTTCTTGTCAGCACATTCAACTTTGTAAAGAACAAGGTATTTAGTGAGAGTATTTAATTTATTCAGATCTAGAATGTTTTATCAAAGTGTTCCCTTCATTTTTGAGCAGTGTATAATTTCAATCACACTGTGAAGCACTAGTACCACTGTAAGAAAAATACCCCTCCCCCTAAGCATGATGCTACCACTGCCATGCTTGATAATTGGGTTGAAAGCCTTAAAAGTCTTAAATACGTATGTCCATAGAGCTCAGACTTCCCCCTGTTTGAATTTAAGTTCACCTGACTGTGTTTGGTACATCTATATAGAATGTAGATGTTTTATTTTTGTCCAACACTTCGCTGTAGAGAAGGAAGCTGGTGATCCTGGAGCTTCCACTTTGTTTTTGTTTTTTAACTTCCTGGCCAAATTAAATATGTCTTAGAGGAACATTTTAAAATGACTAATTAATTCTAACATATTTAATGATTTTTTTATAGCTTGACAAGTCAACAGTAACTGATGAAGAGGTCAGTGACACAGAAGAACAGAAAAGCGAGGAAGTGAAGACACCCAAAGTGCGCCGGGATTTGTCACGTGCTTCCAAAGAGCAATCAAGCACAGCCAAGCGCCGGCGCATTGTTGTGGCCTCAGACAGCGACGGATCAGACGAAGAGTTCAAACCAGAGCATGCTGCATCTAGCAGCGAGGAAGAGGAGGAAGAGGCCACCGTGAGTAGTGAAGAGGAGAGGAGGAGCAGTCAGGAGTCCGAACCAGACAGCCCCATTAAGCCCGTGAAGCGCAAACGTCCTGCAGAGAAGTCCGTCAGTAAGAAAGCAAAGGCGCCTGCTACACCCTCTGCTGCTCCTAAACGAGCTCCGACTGCGATCACGGCGGACACCAAGTCCCGCTTGTCAGCCTTCTCAGCTCCTGACAGCTTTGAGAGCCAGACTAATGGATCGGGGGCCACAGGAGGCGCAACAGTCTGGGATCACGAGAAGCTGGAGTGGCTGCAGGATGGTAAAAGGAAAGATGGTAAAAGACGTCGTCAGAGTGAGGAGGACTATGATCCCACCACCCTGTATGTGCCTGAAGACTTTCTAAACAGAAACACTCCTGGTATGCGTCGCTGGTGGCAGCTAAAATCGGGGATGTTTGACACTGTGATTTTCTACAAGGTGGGGAAGTTTTATGAGCTGTACCACATGGATGCGGTGATCGGAGTCAACGAGCTGGGTCTGACGTTCATGAAAGGAACCTGGGCGCACTCTGGCTTCCCGGAAATTGGCTTTGCACGTTTCTCCGACGTGTTGGTGCAGAAAGGCTATAAGGTGGCCCGCGTGGAGCAGACGGAGACCCCTGAGATGATGGAGGCACGCTGCAAAACTATGGCCAAGCCCACCAAATATGACCGTGTGGTCAGAAGAGAAGTGTGCCGGATTATCACACGGGGAACCCAGACCTACAGCGTGTTGGACGGCGCTCCATCGGAGAGCCAGAGCAAGTTCCTTTTGAGTTTGAAGGAAAAGGCCGAAGATGAGAGCTCTGGTCGACATCGCACCTATGGCGTTTGCTTTGCAGACACGTCAGTGGGATATTTCCATATCGGTCAGTTTGCAGACGATCGCCACTGTTCCCGGCTGCGCACCTTGATCGCACACTTTCCTCCTGCTGAAGTTCTCTTTGAAAAGGGCAACCTGTCTGCGGAAACCCGCAAAATACTCAAGGCATCTCTGTCCTCTGCTCTGCAGGAAGGACTGAATGCAGGAACCCAGTTTTGGGACGCTCAGAAGACTCTTAAAAACCTCTCTGAGGAGAATTATTTCGACGAGGTAGCTGGAGAAGAATCCAAATGTTTCCTCCCTGCGCTTCTGAAGAGGATGACCTCAGAGAGCGACTCCCTGTGCCTAACGCCTAAGGAAGGTTATGAGTTGGCACTTTCTGCTCTAGGCGGCTGCATCTTCTACCTGAAGAAATGTCTGGTAGACAAAGAGTTGCTCTCCATGGCAAACTTTGAAGAATACGTCCCTGTTGACGTTGAATTGGAGAAAGCTGCTGGACCTGCCAGTTTTTTCTCCCAGACCCGTCAGCGTATGGTCCTGGATGGAGTCACCCTGGCAAACTTGGAAATCTTCCAGAACGGTTCAGGAGGAACAGAAGGGACACTGTTGGAGCGTTTGGACACTTGTTCCACTCCGTTTGGTAAGAGGCTGCTGAAACAGTGGCTCTGTGCTCCTCTGTGTAACCCCGCCTCCATCAGGGACAGACTGGATGCTGTGGAGGACCTGATGGGAGCTCAGGCTCAGGCCACCGAGGTCTCAGAAATGCTGAAAAAGCTTCCGGATCTGGAGCGTCTTCTTAGTAAAATTCACAGCATCGGTACTCCACTGAAAGGCCAGGACCACCCTGATTCCAGAGCGGTGCTGTACGAGGAGGTCACCTACAGCAAGCGCAAGATAGCCGACTTCCTTTCGGCACTGGAAGGTTTCAAAACCATGCAAGAGATCATTTCTGCTTTCGCCCCAGTTTTAGGTGACTTCCGCTCCACCCTGCTTCATCAGATTATCAGTGTGAAGACGGAAGAGAACGGGCTCTTCCCTGATCTCTCAGCAGAGCTGAAGCGCTGGGAAACTGCCTTTGACCACCAGAAGGCTCGTACAACAGGTGTCATAACCCCTAAAGCTGGCTTTGACCCTGAATATGACCAAGCTCTCACAGGAATCAAAAACTGCGAGCGGGACCTTCAGGACTACCTGGAGAGGCAGAAGAAGAGGCTGGGCTGTAAGAACATGGCCTACTGGGGGACCGGGCGGAACCGCTTCCAGATGGAGGTTCCCGACAGCGTTTCAGAGAGAAACATCCCAGAGGAGTACGAGGTGAAGTCCACAAAGAAAGGCTGGAAGCGTTACGTGACGAAGGAAAGCGAGCGGCTCTTCTCAGAGCTGCAGGGGTTTGAGGAGAAGAGAGATGCTGCCCTGAAGGACTGCATGAGGAGGCTCTTCTACAACTTTGACAAGAACTACAAAGACTGGAAGACTGGAGTGGAGTGCATGGCAGTGCTGGGTAAGAACGGTTTCAATCCAGAAAGTTATTCCTGCATTTCTCATTTTCCACATAGCTTTCAAATACATCTTTGAGGAAACGTTTTTCAGATTTTCTCTTATCGGTTTAAATTATGGGGTTTAAAATAACATTTGTCAAATAATGCAGCTCTAGCTTTACCAGAATTAGCTTAAAATGGGAAACTTGGTGGAAAGCCATTAATCAAAGCACATGGGAGTGATTGTAGCCGAATATTTGGATTCATTCTGTTCATTTTTCCCAGATGTGCTGCTGGCTTTATCCCGCTACAGTCTGGGAGGAGATGGGCCCATGACCAGACCCCAGGTGGTGCTTCCAGAGGAGGACGGCCGCAGCGCACCTTTCATCAACCTAACCGGATCTCGTCATCCATGTGTGACAAAGACTTTTTTCGGGGATGACTTCATTCCTAACGACATCTTCATCGGCTGCCCTGGGAATGGTGACAGTGATGGGCTGGAAGGTTGCGCCTCATGTGTCCTGGTTACGGGTCCAAACATGGGTGGAAAGTCGACTCTCATGCGACAGGTCTGCTTGAATATTTACACGGAATTTTGTTTATCATTTACCAACCTCTATTAATCCACTGTTTGTTTTTATTGCTTCTAGTGTGGACTTGTGATAATTCTAGCTCAGCTCGGATGCTATGTTCCAGCTGAAAGCCTCTGTTTTACTCCAGTCGATCGGGTTTTCACTCGACTGGGAGCCTCGGATCGGATCATGGCTGGTAATGTTTCCTCACATCATGCACATAAACATTATGGCCTGAGTGGACCCTTTGTAATCTAAGCTGCTGTGTCCCCTCTGTAGGTGAGAGCACCTTCTATGTGGAGCTCAGTGAGACAGCCAGCATATTGCACCATGCCACTAAGCATTCATTGGTGCTCCTTGATGAACTAGGTAAACTTTTCCACCATCATTCATGCTTAGTGGGCACAGTGTGGAGGCCCTCTCTGCAGTTTTCTCTGTCATGGTGTCATCGTGGTGAATCATTAGTCTGTGGCGTGTTGTAGGAAGGGGCACAGCCACATATGATGGCACAGCAATCGCCAGCGCTGTTGTGAAGGAGCTTGCTGAGAAGATCTGCTGCCGTACGCTCTTCTCCACACATTACCACTCCCTGGTGGAGGACTATGCAAACAATCCTGCTGTGCGACTGGGCCACATGGTAAGAATGAAAACGCTCAGTATTTCTCAGCACATGCTGACCAATGTTGTCATACTAATTGTTTTTGCCGTGCCTGTCTGCACTCGTTACTGTTTTTTTACATATAGAAAAATGTAAGATAAAAGGAAATCCTGAATGTTTCCATATATGTTTCAAGTGTAAAAAAAAAAAAATGTTAGTTCTAAATCAAAGATTTTTTATCAGCCATGGGTTTGACTTGACAAGCCATATTTAAAAGTAAAATGTAATGTTTTAGCTGGTTCCCAAAGTGTCTGAATTAAATCCAAAATCAGTAGAAGCACATTTTGACCACTCATTAATTTAATTTACAGTAAAATATTTATTAATTCATTGAATAAGTCATATTTAAATTTTCTGTGTACTGTTCCAACTTGTTCTTTGAAACATGATTCTGTCTTGTCATACTTTGGTCGCCTTTATTTTGACTCTCATATTTAGGATTTCAATCTCATAATTTTAGCTTTAAATTCATGCTGTACATTATTTCTCCCAAATATCACTAGACAGAATGGCATAAGCATGACTTTAAAATTTTCCATCAACTCTAAACAAAATAATTTCACAATTATGACTCATTTAATTGAAAATGTAAATGAGTCTAAAACGGAATGTCTTTTGATGAATATATGATAAAATATGCAAAATCGCATAGTTGTCACTTAGTTCCACATTTCCAGTAGAGAATAGGTTTTTAAACGTTAAAGTGAAGCAATAACCAATATCGTGGGGAGAAGTTTAACAGTTGGAGGCTTTATCTAGATTACAGAACAGCTGCATCCCCAATTTAGCCACAAACTGCTTCCTGAAACAGATGTTAGATGTTGTGAAATGCATGTTTGGGCTCTCGGCTTTCTCAGCACATCAGCCTGTGAATGACTTGATGTATTTTTTTTTATGGCTTTTAGGCATGCATGGTGGAGAATGAATGCGAGGATCCGAGTCAGGAAACAATTACATTCCTCTACAAGTTTATCAGCGGCGCTTGTCCAAAGAGTTATGGGTTCAACGCTGCTCGACTCGCCAACCTGCCAGAAGAGGTCATCCAGTCTGGGCACAGGAAGGCCAGAGAGTTTGAGAAAAGCACCATCAGCCTCAGACTCTTCAGGTATGTTTCCGTTTGCAACATATACTTAAGTTTGCTTTAAGCTGAAACTAATTTTTTTCTCTTGCTCTGCAGAAAACTCTGTCAGTTCGCTGAAGACGCTTCTCAGGACAAAACACGCTTCGGTTCACTTCTTCAACTGCTCAACACCCTGTAGTTATCTTGGAATTCTTACTGTTGCTGATTTTCTGTTCTTTTCAGTGCTTGGGAAAAAAAAACACTACTGCAATGATCTAATAAAGTTTATTCTTAAAAAATGACAATGTTTCATCTAGGAAATTAAACCCTTTTAATTCACACTAGCGCCTACATAACGGTTATTGAATACTTCACAATATATTAAGTCTAGATGTTTATGATACATGCATACATTTTCAGTCTGTATGAGAAATCCACAATCACCAGTACACATGAATGAAAGGAGAGGGAGGCAATGATAAACCATAAAGCGCTGTATATAGATACTTGTCTCAGCTTCTGTAGAGCAAAAGCTGTTCAATTCTCCAGCAATGTTGGAAAAAAAACAGAAAAATACAAATTTTGCTTTTACAAGACTTCTTGCGTTTGTTTATATAAAAACAGGCCTCTGAAAATAAAGACAAAGCAACTTTTCTCTAAACAGGAACAGACGTAAACTGTTAAACTTACATTTCCTATCAGATGTGTAATTATCACATCAGCAGCAATCATTTTACTTGGTCATAAGTTTTGGATTAAGCCTGTAATTTGAATGCCTGTAGGCTGATGTTTAACAAGACGAACGTAGAAAATAATATGCATAGAATCTGTAAAGCAGGCTGCAATACCACACCTGACTTTCCCCCCCTAACATGTTCCAACCAGTCTTGTCAAAGCACAATTCTGCATTGGTTTTTTCTGTTGCTACAACCAAGAGTCAACATTGCTGGAGAAAATGTTTAGTGTTTTCCTCTTTTTCTTGGATCTCTTTCACAGAAAGAAGTTAGATACTGCGACATGAGTATAGTTACAGCAATTGTGGGGAATAACAAAAAAAAAAAACACATTTAATAAAATAAAGACATTCAAGTACAGTAAGATTTTTGCATGAAAATACAAAACTACACAAAAGCATAAAATCAAATCTCAGTTTCTTAAGAAGGGGGAGGGGAGGCTGAAGTGCTAGGTCATTTTTTTCCCCCCGTCGTATGTTAAATACGAGCATGTCTGTCGCCGAAGTGGTGGAAGCATCTTTGAATGAGGGACCATTTCTTCCTGGATCTGTACATCACTGTAGGATCTTGTTCTTGCGTTTCATAAAGTAAGATGAGTGAAGGTGGCTTTTGTCCATCTCACCGTTGGTAACTTGCACTTTAACCCCACCCGCATACCCTGAGTCTGCTGCTCTCTGCTCCTCCTGTCTTTTTTTCAAGAAAAAAGCGAGGCATCCATCAGGCTTCTTTTTCCTCAACAATTTCCTGACCCACATTTTATTTTAGCTGTATTTGTTCTCTCAAAGTGAATATTATAGTTCAGGCTTGCTCTTTGCTGCACAACTAAAAGTATCTTGTGTTTAGACCCCAGGTCTAAGGCTCAGTTGTGCTGCAGCGTATTTGACTCTATAGGGGGAGCAGAGTCGTACAAAGTGTCCGTGTCATGAGTCGGCTCCCCAGCTAACGTGCATGGATTGGACAGCGTCCCTGCTCCACAGTCACAAAAGAACCTGCAAGAAGAAAAGTAATCAGATGTTTTGATTAAATCATGGAACATAAATACCTTGATTTTGACTAAATCAAAATAAATGGTGGTTTAATTTGTAAAAACACAGATTTGGTAGGTTAACCCTTTTATTGACTGCTTTAAACCAACTAAAAAAACATTGGAAATATTTATGAGGAATCAAGAAGTTAAAAAAAATTGATTGTTTAATTATCCTTAGATGTTTTGTGAAAAGAGAAATAAATGAAGGGGTTAAATATTAGAGGTTCCCGATTCTTTCCATAAATAAATGATGCATCCTGACTTTTGCTATTTGGACAGAATTTAACTCCCATGTACCAAATTACTCAACACACGTAGATATGCTCAAAAAGCTTTTAATAAACAGTATACTAACAAGTAAAAGCAGCCTGTTTGCTTTAACACAGTAGAATGAGTGATTAATACTGAACTACGCCTCATAGATAAAAAATGAGAAATTGCTTTTAAAGAGCCGGTCACAAACAGCTCTTATCCAGACCTGCAGGCAGAAGGCACTCAATTTTTTAAACCTATAAAACTGACCTAAATACAGCGTTTCTAAGACTCGTCATCTGGCTTGCCCACAGTTTTATATTTGGCAGAGACCTGATTAGAAAATAATGTTTGACAGCAAAGAAAAAAATACAGACTATAAAGGAGACATAGCAGAGGAACAACCTTAAACCTCACTGGATATTACTGGTATCTCAAATGAAAGAAAATATCTATCCTTTTCAACATTTTACCACCAATGTGATTACAAAAAACAAATGTGACAGCCATGCATAAAAATCCAGATTAATAAATGGATTTCAAACAAACTGATCTCAGTATGAACCCAGAACCAGTTAAAAGGACACCAGCGAAGAAACAGCATCATTAAAGAGCCCACATGTGAGGGGGAAAGGTCTAAAGCTATACAGATAAAAAAAAATAGAGCAAGAGCAAATTCTGAAAAGCTGAAAAAGACTACTACACACCAACCAACACATCCTATCCACATGTGACTATGGTGGTGGCAGCATTATGGTATGGGAACATCATTAGGGATAGGGAAGCTGGTCAGTGGCTGTAACATGTCCAGCCATGGCTATGTTTCCAACTTATACCAATAATGACCTGTTTTGGTCAGAAAATACTAACCTATCGTGTCTGATAAACTCCACATCATGTCCTTGGTGACACTTCTTGATGCAGTTCACGCAAATGGCATTGCGGTCTGTTGTGTTACAGGTATGACACCTGTGTGAACCAAAAATGAATCAACATAAGAGAGCAACAGCAAGGCCACAAGAGATTATTGTTGTACATGCGATGGAGGGTACCTGTAGAAATCGTGCATTGGGTAGCTGGTGTAACTTGAAATCTTGTACAGGCACTGACCTCTGCTCACAGCCTTTTCAATGGCATCCTGATTGTTTTGTATTTTATTATCTGGTGGTAGACAAAGAATACATTTAAACATGAATATTTAACTAGAAGCAGGAGATCGTAAAATATGCGATATGAAAGTACCTTTCATTGTAACATTGACACCAGACGCAAGAAACAATCCCCCAAAACGATTGTTGAAAATCTGATTGCCTTCTAGGGTTGCTGTAGCATGGTTAGTTATCTCAATACCTACAATTCAAGAACAAAACACAAGTTAAAACCGCAATTTGTAACCCAAAGTTACATTGAAGGACATTTGAAGTCCATTAAAAACACCTGTGCATGTGTTACCCACCTGCAGCGAAGCCATCAAATATCCTGTTTTTCCTCAGTGTGGGGTGACTGTTGGTGCTAATGAGAACACCTGCTTGGGCATTTCTGAAGATGTCGTTCTCTTCTAGCAAACCTTCGCAAAAGAAACGACTTTAGTTCAAAATGACTGCTGTAAAAAAATAAGTAGAATGAAGGTTTAGAATATTAACCAAAGTACCTCTTCCTCCATTGAAAATACAGATCCCTCCATCTCTCCCGTCGTGAATCTTATTTCTGCGCAGCGTGGGGTTGCTGTCGGTTTTGATCCACACTCCTGCCATTGCATTGTCAAAGATTTCATTGTCCTCAATGAATCCTAAACCTGAAAAACCAAAGATACTGATTCATTTCTGAAACACAAATTGAGTGGTTTAAACCAAGCACCAAATTAGTGATGTACAAATAATAAGAAATGCATTTTTGCTTCCCACCTGAGTTGTAAACCAAAATTCCCCCATTTTGGCCCCCCCAGATCTTGTTTCGTCTGATTTTAGGATTACTGCCAGTTCTGTCAAAAAGAAAAGGACATGAGTGATTTCTGAATTATTTCAGCACATATGGTGCAAGATTTGGTTTAAAATTTTCCAATATTATTGACTTTACTGCACAAACCTTATCTGAACCCCAGAGTACATGTGATTGTAGATATCATTGTCCTCTAGCACACCGTGGCCATTGTCATAGAAGTAGACCCCAACCTGTTTAAATAGTGGATATTGGAATTTAAAATGAAAGACAAAACTAATTTGATATGTTCCACATTTATACAGCAGAACAAGTCATTTTAAAAACCTTCAGGAAATGAGAGATTATTGCCAGCAACTTAATATCCATGTATAACAGATAAATCCACCGTGCTGTGATCTTACCTGCTTCCCACTGTGTATCCTGTTCCTCCTCAGTACTGGCATGCTGCCTGTTGTCACCCACACCCCTGCCAGAGTGTTACTGTACACCTCATTTTCCTCTATCACTCCCTGTCCTTTTTCATGCTGCAGTAAACACAAAGAGCATATGTCACCATTATGGTTTCAAGTTACAGTGTAAAACACGTAATAAAATTACTCTTAAAATGGAAGGAAATCAGCAAATAGGTTCACTGTGAACGCTGAATAGGATCCAAAGTTTTACCACATATATGCCGCCATGTTGACCGTCATGGATCTTGTTGTGCCGCACAATAGGACAACTATTGGTCCTGATCTGGATTCCTGCCAGGGCGTTGCCATAGATGTCGTTCCCTTCAATGAGGCCTCGGCCATCACCGAAAATGTAGACACCACCTTGGTTTCCGTTAAAAATGGCGTTACCCCTGTGTTTAGAAAGAAAAAAAGTACATCGGAGCATTTATGAAGAAATACTTTAAAGGAGAGCCCCTGCATGGAAGAAAGTCTAACCCCACTGACCTTATTGTGGGGTCGCTGTTTGAGGTGATCCACACCCCTGCAAAGTTATTTGCATAGATCTTGTTTTCAATGAACTGCCCACGGCCCTTTTCGTGCACATAGATGCCCCCAGTCTGACCGTGATGGATCTCACAGCGAACCACCGTGGGGTTGGCGTATGCCTTCACCTCAAAACCAGCTATTCGGTTTCTATGGATGTTGCAGCTCTCAAAGTAACCCTAAAAAAACATGAAGAAATACAAAATTACTGCACCTCCTGGGAAGATGAACAACTCCAAACAGCTCTGCTCCCTTACATTACATAGAGGAGCATTTAGTGTGAAACATGCTTTCAATCAAAGTAATCAGGAAGGAAATACAGTAGCAGAGTGAAATCGTTTGTTAAACTAAGTAACAGTGGGTGAATCTTACCATGCCGTGATCGAACGTGAAAACACCGACATCTCTGCCATGATGGATGTGATTCCTCCTGATTATTGGGTTGCCGTGGTTTTTTACCCAAATCCCAGCCAAAGCGTTGTTTGAGATCTCATTGTCCTCGTAGATCCCCTAAAGAAATGGTATGCATACAGTCTGATGATAGTTCCTTTAAATATGTAAAACACAAAAACTATAATAATATTGCAGCATGTATGCCAGGGGTTATAAATCACTGAGATGGATATTATGGAGGTTTTAGCCCTGAGGATGGACGCTCATGATTTTCTGTTTAAGTATCAGAATCAGACAATTTATCGTATTAGAAAGAGCATCCCATCCTATCCCACATTTTTGTCATTCATAGACAGAAACCAATGAAAAAGCCTGATTAGTACATCTTCAAATACGAGATCACTGACTATACTTTACCTGCGCATGATCGGTGATGTAAAGACCAACGTTTTCACAGTCACTGATGTTGCAGTGTTTTATTGTGGGACAAGCCCCCTGACCACTGACACACACAGCTGACCCAACTGGAACAGAAAGACGAAAACCTTATGTCAACATATAAAGAATGAAAAGGAAGTACGAAAACTAAACATTGCAGATATAAATTGTTAGAAATGTACAGGTGAAGTAGGAATGGGAAACTATAGAAACTTCGACACACTTCATCTTGAATTATAATGAAAAATCTCCTCCCATCCGTCTTCCTGAAGGCCTTTATGATGACATAGCAAAGGAGCCCAGAGATTAGGGGATTTTTACCTGTACATGCGCTACGAATGATGCAGTGGTCAATGATGGGGCTGCAGTTGACTGTAATCTCCAAGCAGTGGTGCGCGTTGTGGTGCTGGGCAGATTTATCGTCAGGGTTGAACTGCAGCACAGACAAAAATTAAGGGATAAGTACCGAAAATATGAAAAACAAAATGCAGCTAACATGTCACATACTATGTTCTTACCCTGATTGTCATAAATCCAACGTAAGCATCTTCAGAGCCTTCCATGAAAACAAAGGTGGAGTCTCTGGTGTTCTCAATGATGACTTTCTCTGCAACCTTTCCAGGAGCTATAAAATGAATCGTTCAAGTTCAATACATGGAGACACAATTTGTTTAAAATGTAGCTGTAAAATAGATTCAAGAAACACTTACCAGCTCCAATCATGGTGATGGGGGATTCAATATAGATCCACTCATCTGTGTAAATACCAGAATGCACAAATATCAAGCCGTCAAAATGAGGCTCCTGACCTCCTCCGAGTGCATCTTCAATGGTGTCATAATACTGAAAAACAAAACCAAACAAATGAGTTCTACATTTATTAATAATAAATTAAAAGCCCTAAGAATAAATAGGGTTGGGCAGTTTACTTACAAACATGTTATCTCTCCCTTTGTATCTGGCAGGATTACTGTAGAAGTGTTCTGCAAAGCCTGGCTTAACGTGGGCACCTTTATACTAAAAAAGTGAAACAATATAAAAAAAATAAAAAACCAAGCAAACATTTAAACTGGAAAAATTATAGTTTCAAACTCAAATAAAAAGGGATTTAAACTTAATTGGTTCTGCTTCATTGTGACAACAGCATGACAGTGATGATGACATGTTGCATGATTATTTTATACAAAAGAAAAAGTGAATTCCTACACGAGAGTCAAGGTTTTAACAGAATTATATTTACATTAATATACACAAGAGTTTTGAGAAAAACATAATGAAGTTATCCTAGACAGTCTGGAAAGGTCGGGTCTTTAATTTAAATCTTTGGTGTGAAAAAAAGCAACAGGAATTTGTCTATTTTTTTTAATAAAGAACACATATTTACAAATTTTTTACACATATCTATATGAATATAAAACTCTTATATTCATGATAAAAACTTGAAGTTAAGATTTAACAGAACGATATTTTGTTTTAAGCCCCTGAATGTATGCATAATAAACTGTTTTGGATTTTAGAAGAATTTTAATTCAAGTTAACCTGAACCTATGGTCTTTAAATAGACTAGGGTTATGATGTGACTTATCTCAACATTTTAGGTTCTGCTATTAAAACAGAAAGTTCAGATATTGTGAATTTGGAAACTGCAATTTACTGAACATGAATGATAATACAAGAGCTTTACTCTAAAACTCTGAAAATCTAAGACTAGTTTCTGCATCAGGCATTTTCAAGGCTTGCAGAACCTACAGATAAGACTGCTTCCAAAGTACCTCAAAGGGAAAATTTCTGAGGGGGAAACAAAATTGGAAGTAAAAAGAAGAAAAAAAATGTTGAAAACCTACTACATTTTTTTGTTAGTTTTCTCATACAATTGAATAAAAAAAGCTAAATATATAGCATTTTGATGAGATAAAACAGGGCTCAAACAAGGGCTTTAGCTAAGAAACATTTCAACAAATGCAGCCCCTTTTAATTTAGTTTCGAAGTAAAACAAAAAATTACTCGATGTTACAAAAATGTTATAAAAAGAGTCCTCACCAGTTGCTGAAAACTCTCCTTCCATGGGTTTGGCTGGTCATGTTCTTCCGGATTTATCTGGTAAAACTTTCCTGCCTCCGGATGCATCATAGGTCGAGTGTATTCGAAAACCTCCATGTACAGTCTCTTCCTGAAATGTTAAAACACCTCATCAGTAAATCCTCATCCCGCACATTTTTCTTTTACACAGACATTTACGACAGTTGAATGTCTATTTATTGTGATCATTAAAGCATTTTGTAACTTCACAGAAACAACTGAAACAAAATCGTTCAAAACAAATTACCTGCCTGATAAATGTTTTATTAACATTCTAAGATCAAAATAGCTTATGGATCATTTTGAACTCTCTCCAACTAAGATAAATTTAGCCACTTGGAATAATGGAGATCATCCTATATGTAAAAGAAACATATCTTAGCAACCAGCATTAGATTTTAGTTCAAACATGGTAGCTTTAGTTTTAGTCTGTTTAGTTCTCTTTTACATCACTAAGTCTTACCAGAGGATGGGGTCATTGGCCAGCTCACTGAAGCGCTTGCACACACAAGCTGCACGGCACAAATCCTGCTCCAGCAGGTATGAGAAGATCTTCAGCACCACCTCATCTGGAAGCTTCTCTTGCAAATACTGTTCTGCTGGAGCAGCTGGGGAAACAATGATCACAGCATTTGAGCATAAAGTTTTTATGGGAACAGATTCTGAATGAACTGACTCAAACATCACACTAAAAGCAAGTTTCTGTAATGCATACATTCAATGACCTGGTATGGGGGAACAAATAAAAATAAATCTATTAAAACCAAGTGTGTGCATAATGATAGGAGCTGACAGTTCAATACAACAAGAATATGTCAACAGAAAACATTTATTTCAAGTCATTTAGCTAGAACAGCTGTGAGACTCCAACTGTCCCAAGAACCAGACTTCATAGGTTCCTAGTCTGCAAGCTTAATGCAGTACTGCATGTTTAACCCAAAAAGATCCCCAGGGTCGCCATTTCAAATCTTTTATATTATAACGGAGAATACTTTTTTTTTTTTACTCTCTTATGTGATGAAACATCTACATGTAGATCATGAGAGTTATTCTGGTTTAATATGCTTTTGCAATCTGTCAGATTTCAAGAAACCAACTGGATCAAATGGGGACCAGCATCATTGGGATCAAGTCATACGAAAAGGACACTATTAAATATACAATTAAGTTAAATGTTATAAGCCAAAATTCAAAATTTCACTGAAAGGAACTGATGCATAATGATTTAACCATAAAACGCAAAACATGGAAGTAGGAAGAGAAGAAACAAGTCTGCATGTTTGTTTCACCGCAAAATAACTTGAGATGATAGAATTAGGTGAAAAAAAAAAAAAAAAAAAAAAAAAAAAACACAATTATTTGATATTTGATCAATCTCTTAACAACCAACTCCTATGAGCTTTTAATGCCCACAGTATATTATTTGGCTAATTGCTCAATAGGCCTGTTATAATAACAACTTTTGCAGGATTATAAATTGTCCCAGATATTGTGCGATTAAGGATAACATGTCATTTGGTTTGAATGCAAAGTTCTTCCACACAGCACTGCGCTAAGGAAACTATAAAAGGAGAGGAGAGTGGAGACTAACGCAAACAAGTGAAACCTTTAGGCATCTATACTTCCCTCTCTGTCAGTAGAAAGAGAGGGAGACGCAGGGAAAACAATCAAAGCTGCAGTTGAAATTGATCTTCTTTAAATGCATCTTGTGATAAATTCTTATCATTCAATTAATTGATTTATTGTTTAATGTGACAAGCCTATGAATCCCTGTGATGATGAATCCACCTGAGAAAAGATGGAAGACAAAAAAAAAAAAATGTGTTTACCTGGTAAATCGGGACCCTTTCCTGAAACTCTGGGGCGTTTAGGTCGGTGTCCAAAGTTTTCTGTTGTTGAAGTGGAGGCACCCTGTGAACAGAGGAGGTCAGCGGAAATCTCTCATTTTCAAGTGGAATTTTCCTTAGAAGCAAATCTTTTCAGCCATACATTTTTGCCAATGCCTTAGAAAGACCAGCGTACCTCCATGTTTGTCTTTGTGGGACACACCGTTCTCTTAGGTAGAGACTTTCTTCTAAGTTGGTAGGGACTATTCTGAGCTCCTGGACCAGATTCTTCTGCAACCATTTCTGCAGGAATGTCCTCATCTACGATTAGTAGACGAGGGGGAAAATGCTAGTAATTAAATCAACACAAACAAAAAAAAAAAAAACACAAATTTATCAGCAAGATAAGGGAAAAAAACCTTGGTTCATCTGAATTTTAAGCTCCTTAGAAAGTGAGTTTCTCATCGATCACTAAACAAAATTACATGAGGCATTTTCTTTTGCAGCTCAAAATGTATAATCTATAATTACAGGAATAAATGTAAATGTAAGAAAAAAACTAAATTGTGTTTTCAGAGGACTAACTAATTAACTTACCCTCTGAATTAACTGTTAAAACTATATTACAAGCCTGTAGAAATACTTTGATTGCATAAGTAATACATTAAGGACCTGGACCACACACACGAGAAGCCAAGGTTGGAATCAGTAAAGTTACATTGTCCTTTTAGGACCTAAGAATAAGCTAATTAAATATCTTATCAAGAGGGGCCCTAATCAACAAAATAAACCAACCAAAGCATTTTAAGATTAGGTTTCCCATGCCGTTTTAAAAACAAAATGCACACTTCCAGTGCAAGTTGTCTGAGAAATACTGTTTGAGGGGTAACCATAACTAACAGCTTTTGTTACATGTTACAACTAAATGACCATCTCTGATTGATGAGAAGCAGGTAAAAAAGAAATAGGCTTCAATAAATATTGGTGAAATTCTGTTTGATTCAATCTATGCAATCTCTTTTTTGAATTCCTTGGGAGGAAAAAAAACATCTTTCAAATTCAAGATTGGCAGCAAAGAACTAAAAAACAAGAAATGAAAAGTTCATCTGTATGAGCCTGAAAAAAGTCTGGAGCAATAACCAGTTATTGCTAATAAGCGGTAACAACATTCTCAGGTTAATAAGCAACGTAATAAAGGCAGTTTTAAGTGTTAAGATTCAGCTGGGAAATATATATTACTACTATTTTACAACAACAATATTTTTGTATTTATGGGATTTAATAATCCATCACATTCCGATTGTAAATTAACAATCCACTTTTAAGGATAACATCTATTTACTTACAACCTGAAAAACTAAATTGAAATAATTAATGGGATTGTTTTTACTTAGATAAACTAAAATTATAAATCTATCAAAAACTGTGGGATTTTACGATAACACATTCAAAAATGTAAAACTGTTATTATAGACAAAACACTGCTAAATAAGATTACTGCCATATAGTCTGTGGTTTGTAGAAATGCTTTAGCAGCTACATAATGAAAGATTTTATCAAAATTTAAAACCTATCTTTATCATTTCCTGCATTAGTGTGTATTTATATTTATATATATATATATATATATATATATATATATATATATATGCACAAAATGAGCAAATCCCTTAACATTTTTGGTTGGTATCAGCGAGTTTAAACCCCATATGTATTTTGTTTATTTTAAAAAAGTAAATTAGTCTATTTTGGCATAATTTTATTAGATAAACATCGGAATAGACTTGTCACTCAAATCAAAGAATACCTGGTTTTTAAAGAGTTATACTTTCAAAACTGTATAAATTTGCCATCACATCACACAGTCCCTGCATTTCAAATCCATTTTACTGAGGTGAAAGATAAGATTGAGAAAAATGCATTTGCCCCTTTCTCTACTGTCCACTGCTGCTCAGTTGGTTGAAAGGTGCCTAAACATTTGAACACGAATGACAAATTAATGTGAAGCTAATTGTTCCGTTTATAAACTTGATGTTTTTCATTGATAACTACTGTTTTGAAACTGCACTAAATAGTATGCAAATATGGCAAGGGCTAAAAACTATAAGAATCTAACAGTATCTGTTTATGCCAATATAAACACTTTGATGATGAATTGAGTTTCTTTTACAATAGTAGGAATTAGTTGCCATTTTGCATGTTGACTAAGCTGCAATGCCAGGTCATTATAATAACATAATGTCAAACTGGCCCATACATATCTTAGTTTGGATTAATAACTTTTACAAAGGTATATCTCCTTCTGACTGCATTCCAGTTGACATTTGAGATCAAATATTTCACTATGCCCTAGTGGGCAAATAACGTCAAAATGAATTCAGACATATATATAAAACCAGTAAATTGGCCCTAAGAAATAGGCTGTGACACAACAAGTACCAGTAAATACTTCTACATATGAGTAATGTTTACGTTTAGACATTGAGATCCCTCATACTTCACCGTTTAATGTCAGCCACAATGCTAAAACCTCAATGGGGTTTCTCCTACAGAAATCAGTCACAATGTCGAGCAGCACAATCGACACTGACATTTCAAAATCGCAGAGGCTAAAAAGACAGGGGCGTTTTTAGGAGGAAATGACAGCCGGAGGTACTAAAGTACTCATAAAGCAGCGCCCAAACACTCCAATCATAACAACTAAGTAGCACGGGCTACATTCAATTAGCTTGCTACGGCAACTAGCAAAACCCTTTAATGCGCCCTTCCTGGCGTTTGTCAACAGTCATTCTGCTACAGTCTGTACGTTTGGTTATACAAAAATTAAACATGTGTTATTTTACCTGAATAAAATAATATCAACGGTATTTGATAAACCAGGCAGAAGACGTGTCGACTCGTATAAAATCAAACAAAACAAAGCGCGGCCTAAATGGTAGCTACAAACACAGAAGCCTCGACCTTTCCTGAGTAAAGCACCCCGACCGAGAATGCTGCGCTGCGTTCACACTGAACAATGCTTTTCCTCTTTTAACTTAAAAAACATACGAAAATATCAAACATTTTGTAGATAAGGTAAGAAAAGGACCAGATATGTGAATTTCACAAGCTTCTAAGCAGAGCTAATATAAGTTAAAGCAAAAATTACCTCTTTCCTGGTGGTTCCTATCGGGCTGCACCGGGCGCGGCCTTGATACTCGCCTAGGTCTTCTGTTCACGTTACTTGCTCTGACGGAGTTCATTTGGGGTGTTGGTAATCTGGAGAAAATGTCGAAGCTTTCACGACAGAAGAGGCGACGCAGAGTACGCCGTCTATGTCTTTTTCTTGAGCATCAGACGAGCTGCCATCTTCCACCGCGGCTCGAGAGGACCGTATCGCTGTATAGCTCGCCGTTCGCCCGCACTGGTGTTACGTCTGGCCCCGTTCCACTGTAGCAGGAGGAGCCATAGCAGACAGCGGCGGTTCGTCAGGCCTCCTGCGTACAACGCTCACCTTTTAAATGCCTTTTGCGTTGACGGCGCTCGATTTGAGATACTCTTAACTTTCTTCAATCTTAAACATAATTTCTAAAAGTATGCAAAGTATTTCCTTCACTTACAGCAGGGCTTTATTTACATAAGCCTAAAAATGATCTTGGTAAAGCTCACTATAATATAAACCACTGAACCTAAGTAAGTCATAAATTATATTGATTTTTATCAAATGACAAAAAAATCTCAACATTCTTTATTTATTAGATACATTTCTGTTTAGTTTTATGACTTTTGTACAGTGACCCAGAGGTGTTAACACTAATACAAAAGCCGCCAAACAAATATAAAAGCCGTAACACATTGTGGCTTTTATATTTCCGTTGTGGCTTTTGTATTTGTGTTGCAGCTTTTGTAATCGTGTTGCGGCTTTTGTATTTGTGTTGCGTCTTTTGTAATCGTGTTGCGGCTTTTGTATTTGTGTTGCGGCTTTTGTATTTGTGTTGCTGCTTTTGTATTTGTGTTGCTGCTTTTGTAATTGTGTTGCTGCTTTTGTAATTGTGTTGCGGCTTTTGTAATTGTGTTGTGGCTTTTGTAATTGTGTTGCAGGTTTTGTAATCGTGTTGCGGCTTTTGTAATCGTGTTGCGGCTTTTGTAATC